AACATGTGTCTGGAGAGAAAGTAGTTTGTGTCGGCCAGGGCATAGGGGAAGGACGAGGTCCCCTCCTGGTGCCCTTCAAGCCTGCAGGACCCCAAGGCCAAGCCCGGCTCCATCCCCAGAAGGTCACTTGAGTGCTGAGCCTCCTTCTCTGTCACCCATATGTGTTTGCTCACTGGTGGCCATGCGATGGGAGGGCATTTCTACGGGGTACCTGCATCTGCCTGTCCTTGAGCCAAGCTCCAAGTAGATCAGAGATCCCCAGAAGGCGTGGACGCAGTCTGGGGTTAAACCATTGCACCAGCAGCCACATCCCCAGGAGGATGGCAGGACCTCCCGTGGCCCAGGCAGCGGTGACAACTGGACAGAGGGAATTTTTCTAGGAAAGACGGCTGGACATGGCTTGATCCTTGTCCAAGGGCCCAGCCAGAGGACTGCAAGTCAAGCCCGTGGGATGCCAGCAGGTGCAGGACCAGGGTGGCCAGAGGCGTGCTGGTGGGGGAAAACTCCTCCCAGCACGGGCAACGATGCCCAGAAAGCTTGTGCACATACACTAGCCGCTGCCCTGGAAGTCCGGCTCCCAGCCGCCCTAACATGTCGGAGCGGAGCCTGCCCGCACATCTGCTAGTTTCTGGTGACCTCTAGAGGAAGCTGCTCCAGCACTGTGAGTTTGGAAGCGGGACGGGGTCTCACCAGACCTTTGGCTTAGCTGCAGCTGGAGCATTCTCCCCCTGCATCCCTGTCCTGGGTGCACGCCTCTGCCCAAAACCCCGTAGCACTTCCCAAAGTGCTGCAAAAGTCTCGTTATCCAGCCGAGCTAAACATGCTGATTGTCTTACACCTCCCTGTGCTAGGGGTTTCTCTGACCATCCTTCCCTCCCCGCTGCTGCCCGCAGGTCGAGCTGTCAGACGGGACATCACACACCATCACCGATGCCTACGCCGGCAAGGAGTACATCATCCAGGTGGCGGCCAAGGACAACGACATCGGCACGTGGAGCGACTGGAGTGTGGCTGTCCATGCCACTCCCTGGACGGAGGAGCCCAAGCATCTCACCACGGAGGCCCAGGTCACAGGTGAGACC